GGAGACAATTAACATCATATCAATAGGAGCATTTAGGTAAACAAACATTTAAGGATATTTTTTTTTTGAGGGGAACATTTTTAAGGATATAACTAGTGTGTGGCCCAGGCGATGCACTGAGTTTTTTTTTTTTTGAACACTTGTAATTGAATAGACAGGTTCATTCTTTATTATTTATTTATTCGATATTGTTTATAATATATAATGGTTTTTCATTAACCTTTGAATAAATTATTCATAGAACAACTATTGATTAAATATACAAATGTTTTCCTGTCAAAAAAAAATTATATAAACATGTCCTTTGTTTATAATTTATAATATAATGAAAATAAAGACATAATTATTATCAAAATAATTAAATAACTAAAATTAATTTATAACAATAGTTAATTTTTCTTGCTTGTATGTATTATCTCGATTAACATAATTAGAAAATAATAGGATCGATTTTTTTTTTTAATAGAATTTCAGTTTTTAAATGTTCATATTTCCATCCAATCCATATAGTTATATATTTATGAGACGAGGGTATATATAAAAACATGATTAAGATATGGATGAGATGGTAAGACACCTAATGCATATTTTTGTGGTTATGAGTTCGAATCTCATAATAGACATTTTTATTAATTAGAATATGTTCATAGTTGAAAGATGACATGACGAGGGTGCCGCATGGCACATAAACGTTTTTATGAACGCTTTTAATATAGAAAAGTATAGGTATAGATTATCCTCACACTATTCATACATCCTCCGTTACATATTATGTGTAACAAACCTTGTTGCACGTTTCACAAGATAAATTTTGTTAATAGGTGATTAACAAAGTAAAGGATTTGTGATTAAGGGTAGGAGAGAGAAAGGGGGGAAATTAATTAACCACCACTACCACCCACCAGCACCAACATCCACCATGCCCACCAGTCCATCACGCCCACCATCCACCACGCCCACCAGCACCAACATCCACCACCACCCACAGTCACCCACTCCTTGAAACCACCACCACCCTATCTCGTAACCAATCCCTCACCACCACCATGACCCAAAACTCCACCAGCCAAATCACACCAACATCGCAACCATAACCACTGTACCCAATCACACCAACACCGCAACCATAAACACCATACCCAATCACCCAAAACTCACTCCAACCAAATTGCACCAACACCGCAACCGTAACCCAATCACCACAACCAAGATCTGAAACCTTCCATAACACCACCCAAAACCAACCTCACCCATTTCACAGCCACCGTAAACCCAAATCAATTTTTAGGGCTTCAATGTAGAGGAGAATCGGCGGCTATAACAAGGGGAAAAGGAGCCGACGATGACTTTGACAAGGGAAGAGGAGGGGTTTCGGCCTTGAGGTGGGCTGGGGTCATGGCAGTGAGAGAAGATGTGAAAAGTAGTTGTGGTTGTGGTGGTGATGGTTGTTGTGATGGTGGTTGTGGTGGAGGTGAGAGAACACTTGGTGATGATGGCGGTGGATAGGTGTGAGGGAGGAAAGATATTAAGATTAGGGATTAAATCATAAATGAATTAATTTAGTTTAATATAATAATAACATATGATCTTATTAATTTAATGTGTGTTATTGAACTTAAGTAAGGGCACATGGGTCATTTTACACAAAAATATTTACTATAAATGGAAATTTTTACTTTGTTGCACATAATGTGTAACTTTCGTTTTTGGAAATTGTTGCATATAATGCGTAATGGAGGAAGTAAATGTTTTCTCATACTTTTTAAAAGGTATGGATTTTTTTTTTGTTGTTCTACCCGATTCACCCTTTGGGCTAATCCGGATTCGGTGATCAGTTCTTGGTGGTTAGGTTCCAGTCCCCTCCCAATTGTTGTTGCGGGGGATCGAACACAGGCTCTCCCTACCAAGTGTAGTCCCAATCACCACTACACCAACACCCAATTGGTTAAAAGGTATGGATTGTCGTTGAACATTAACTCTTTTAAATTTAGATTTAATAAAAAATGATGGGGTCATCGTCCGGGCAAATAACTAGTTTCAAAGTAATAATGTTCTGCAATTATACCCTTTAAAATTTTATTTACTTATTTTCCCTTATAATGTTAATAGCCTCTTCTTTTGAACGTTTAAGAATAGTGTGTGGATAATTATAATACTGTCAACAACTAAATTTGTGACTTTTTAAGGTCGAACCAAAAGAGCTCCTAGACATGACAAGTTATAGCGTGCACATTGTGCACGTTAGCCACCCTAATAATAAAATAGAAAAATTTCATCTTCATTTTTTTTATTTTTTTTTATTTTTTTTTTTATAAATATTGTTTTGACTCTTAGCTTGGCTTACACTAACATTGATGATTAATTGGTTACCAAACTATAGACCCACCCAAAAAAAAATTGAAAAAAATTAAAAACTACTATAAAAACCTTTGGATAATTTGTAAATAACTACCCAAAAAATAGACCAATTTTGATATAACCACCCAAAAAATATTTTATTTTAAATTACCACCCATTAAATTAAAAAAACGCGCAGATTACCACCCATTTAGAATTTCCGGTGAAATTTCCGTCGGTGGGCCCCACTTTTTTTTTTTTTCCTTTTTTTTCTTCTATTTTCTGGCTTTCTCACTCTCTCTCCCCGATTTTTTCACTCTTCTTCTTCCTACCTTCTTTCTTTCTTCTTCCCAACCACCACCACCACCATTGCTCCACCTTTCACACCACCTCTGGCAACCGTTAACCACAGCACCACCACCGAAAACCGCTTAACCCCTTTGCTATTAACATCAGTTCCTCCATCCAACAAATCCTCGAGTCCTTTTAAACCTCCAGTACAAGCCATAAACAACAATTGCATCGTTGCGTCTAGATTATCCGACACCGTCAATGGTTCCTCCTTCACCGTGCTCCGCCGAATCGGATCCAGCGACGATTGCCGCCTAAAATTAAACCTCATTGTGTATCTAAGGGTCCATTGATGACTGCCTCTTGAAGCTGAACCTCCCTGATTTCCTCAACGATCCTGTTGAGAATTGTCTCGATATTCCGCGCTTCAATTGAGCCGCCATCTCCATTTTTCCGATTTTATATTTCTTTTTCTCCGATTTTGAAACCTTAATTTTCGCTGATTATCCCTCAATTGAATTGGGGGTTTTCTTAAATTGTGTCAAGAACCCTACTTTCTGAAAACCCCCGATTAATTTGTGTCAGGAACCCTAAATTTAGAAAAACCCCAATTAATTTGTCTGAGGAACCCTAATTCCAGAAAAAACCCCAAAATTATTTGCCAATATACAAAAGAACCCTAATCCCAGAAAACCCCCAAAATTATTTGCCAAGATAAAAAAAAAAAAGAATTGAGCTTACCTAAATGGGACTTAAGTGACTGCACTTGGTTGGGTCAAATTCTTCAAATTAAAGCTTGCAAAAATTGGGAAAATTTGAGGTAAGTGATTTCAATATTGTGGAGGAGTGTGAGAAGTTGTTCAATACAACAAAATTGAGGGAAAAATGAAAATATGGGTCAAATTAGCCAGTTAATAGCCATTATGTGGGCCCCAAGGCCGGAAAAGTGACCGGAAAGAAAGAAAAGGTGGTAATCTGCGCGTTTTTTTTAATTTAATGGGTGGTAATTTAAAATAAAATATTTTTTGGGTGGTTATATCAAAATTGGTCTATTTTTTGGGTGGTTATTTACAAATTATCCTAAAAACCATCACTACATTAAGCCTAATCATTATTGTCTCAAAAGTTAGAAATTCTGATTAAATTGCAGCCAATTGAAGCACCGTGTATAATATAGAAGAAGATAAAGTTGCAATAAATTAGATAGATTATACTTTTGTTTGCTTAGAAGCTTGTTTTGCACTCAAAGACCAATGTAGCTTATCTTTGCATTTCCTTTTTTTTTTAAGAGGAAAATAATAATAACCCATTTTCTTTTGTATACTTTTAGTTGTTGTTGATGCAATTATTATATTGATTATTACTTTTTAATGGTTAACAGGATTAATTATAATCGAATATTTTTTTTTTCTCTTGATCTAGTATAAAGAGGTTGAGTCACAAAGATCAAATGATGTAGATAGAAAGACAGTCATTAAATGAAGTAAGGGGTGCACTTTTTGTCGACAAATGACATAAAAACCAAACTCATCTAATAATACATGTATATGCGCATAAGAACGCGCTTACATATGAATGTCTACACTTAATTGATCAATCAATTCTAGTTCCTACAAGGTCTTGTGCATAGAATGCCCAACTTCAAATTAGTATCATGTATTTAAATGACACAAAGTTTAAAAAAGCAAGTAAAATTACATGTAATAATATATGGTCCTAATTCAGAATAATCTTGCATATCTTTTACATTTTTTTTTTTTTTTTGAATACTTGCCTATCTTTTACATTATTCAACATGACAAACCTCATCTTTTCTATTTTTTTTTTCATTTGAGATTGTATAATGAGTAACTTAGCTTCTATACTACTCTTTTGTTTATTTTATTGCATGTATGGCAGACCAACTTTTGTACAAATGATTAATAAGAGTTTTCTAAACTAATATACATGTCCTACAATAGATAAATTACCTTAATATTTTATTTTCTAGAAATCTAAATTAAAATAGGATTATCCTATCCGAATTAGTCCTAGAGATTTGATCTCTCAACCTCAAGATAATTTAATCATCCTATATATCCAAAGTCTAAAATTCACTGGCTACCTACTACTATATATATGGAGTGTCATTCTTGCACAAAATGCATGCTACTGTGTCAATTCTATGCTTGTAATTAATAAACAAGAGTTACATATATATGCATCAAATCATCATATCACATTCTTATACTTAATTACTTTTATTACAATCGTTATTTTCAAACTATAGATTTAATATCATGAGCCCTTAACACTTTATAAATTCACAGTCCACTCTATCCTTTAATTTATTGAAAAGTGTAAAGATTTAACCAACAATAATCGAAAAGGATTCATTCCTTCCACCTATAACTCTATTCTTATAAAAAGAAACTGTGTATAATCTTACCTCATTTATACTAATTGTATAATACAAAGTAATTAAATAAGATTTAATACCCTTTCACCAACCTTTTATTAGAGTAAATTTTGTTAACACCATTGATATGATCACCCTTTTCTTCATGCAATCATGTAAATTGGAGTTAAGGACTAGAGAAAACTAATCAAATCAAACTATAAAAGTTTCCAAGACAAAAAGGGTCCTACAATTTGATGGCAACCACGTTGAAGACTTTATTCTTTAACCCCACATGAGTAAATAAAAACAACATAGAACCAAATCATAGCAATAGCCAAAAGCAAAATCAATTAATTAATTTACAAAACAAAAAAAATAAAAAAATTTAAAAAAGAAAAAAGTAATTGTATGACTCACACTTTTAACACATTCTCAATCATCATTATATTTAACAACTACTATATGATTTTCCACATATTTATACACATTCTCTTTCCTCATTTTATCTTCATATCCCAAAAAATTGAGGAAAATATGGGAAAAACAGGAGGCAAAAAATTGCAAACATTTTGTGTTAATAGAATTAGGCCCTTAGTTAAGGTTCCAATACAAAACAAATTAGGTAGTAATACTTCTCCAAATTGTGTTAAGAAAACTAATGTGAATAATAATCAAGTAGTTGAAGGTGATAGTAGCAATGATACCAAGTTTGAGGAAGATTGTGAGAAATTGAAGGCAAATGTAGGGAGGAAGATCATGGTGGTGGTTGATTCAAGCGCCGAGGCGAAAGTTGCCCTTCAATGGACACTCACTCATACGGTTCAAAGTCATGATCTTATTGTTCTTCTCTATGTTGCTAAGCTTAACACTAAGCAAGGTTTGTATATATGTTCCTTCTACTAGAACAACTTTGTTAATACGATAACATGTATTGTACTCCCTCTGTCCGTAATTTATTACTTTATCAAGGTAATTTCTAATAACTAGTATTAACATATTGTATACTTTTGTAATCTATTGTTCAAATTAGATTTTTTAATTTGTTTAAAGTTAAATTTGGCTAATTTTATATGTATAAGAAAAATGTTTAATGGTAAGGACAATTTGTAATGTCATGACTTTTAGTTCGAATTGGATGTAAAATTTAGACACGTTTAAGCTTGCTTAGCTTATTTGTTTTTCTTTGAGGAATTTTTTATTCACCAATATAATTTTCATGTGAATATTACAGAAAAGGAGGATACGAGAAAGAAGATGTCACCAAAGGTGTATGAGTTACTACACTCTATGAAAAAGACATGCCAGTCAAAGCGGCCTGAGGCGAGTTAACTTTACTTACTACTCATAGTGTCCATTACACATCCGAACGTACCTTATTTGTTACTCGTTTAGAATTCTCCTAAACGATCAAATAAAAAAGAAAAAAAAAATACGCGTATATCTTAATTGTTCAGCTCATTAGCTGGATGTAATGAAGGCGTTTGCCTATATTAACATCTACTACTCCATACTTTCTTTAATTTATTGGTCACAAATTATCTTAACATTTATTTTCTTCCTTTTTTTTTATAACAACTAATTTGATCAATCTTCCTTGGAGCTTACCTTTATTTGTACAACTTTGTGGCGTGCACACTATTAACTTATTAATTCATGAAGGAGACATGTAATACATATTTATGTTATATCCTCTTTTATTTGTGTATGTATCATGATGTTGTTATATTTTGATGTGATAATGGAAATTATAGGTAGAAGTGGAGGTTAAATTGGCAGAAGGTAAAGAAAAGGGACCTAACGTAGTAGAAGAGGCAAAAAAACAAAATATATCCCTACTAGTTTTGGGCCAAAAGAAGCTGTCAACATCATGGCGGTTGTTACTGATGTGGGCAAGCAACAAGGTGGCGGCCGGTGGCGGCGGCGGTGGTGGAATGGTGGAGTATTGCATACAAAATGCTAGTTGTATGGCCCTTGCGGTACGAAGGAAGAGCAAAAGAGTTGGAGGCTATTTGATCACAACTAAGCGTCATAAGGACTTTTGGCTCTTAGCTTAGTTGTTAGAAGTCTAGTAGATAAGTGGATTTTTTTTTTTTTTTTTACTTTATATATTTTCGAAAAAGGTGAGTTAAATGTTGTAATGTAATGTGTTTATATATAATGTTCAGAATCTAATCAATCAAACAACTTTCCTCAAATTGATCTAGTTTACCACTTTTTTGCAACTTTGTTAAGTTGTCATCAATCTCATCATTGTTGAGACTTAAAGCTTACATTTATTTAAACAATTTAGTGTTAACGACCAAATACGTTAGAGTAAAAAATTGATTTTGACACACCCTTAATTGATTTTGGCACACCCTTTTATATGTGAGAAGAGCCTAAAAAACTTAGCTCTCACATGGGATGTACCAAAATCAATTTATGGTGTGCTAAAATCATTTTCCGTTAAAGTTGTGTTAAAGACTTTAATTTTAATGGGATTACTTCATGATGAGAGAGAGAGAGAGAAAGAGTTTAATTGGAAGCCAAAATAGAATAAAATTAGGAAAAAGGGGGTGTGATCCATTAGAAAAATAGGAGGCATGCGACATACACTTGTGGGATAAAGGGGGGTCGACGCCGGAAAAAGGCCAGCCAATGACAGAAAGTGCCACCTGGTTGTCCTGAATAAGAAATTATATATATATGTGTGTGTGTGTGTGTGTTTTTTTTTCGCAAATAAGGCGTTTTTGTGATTTGTGTTAGTGGTATGGTTGTGACTTATGTGATGGTTGGATGAGTAGTGATAGACCACTACCAGAGTACCAGGTATGGGCTCGTTGGGCCCATACCAGAGGCAAAAATGTAATTTCACGTATTACTTACCCATGTGGTAAAAATGCAGTCTCTCTCCTCTCAATAACAGTATATAAATTAAGAATAACAGTATGTAAACCAAGAATAACAGTACACAAACCAATAATAACAGTATAGAAATTAATAATAATTGAGCACCGACAAAAAAAATTACCGACGTCAATTTCCACCGAACTCAGCGATTTCCAGCATGAAACTCACCGTTTTTAATGGCTAGAGCCATAAGTTTGTGTCTCTCGTTTTTGGATTATGTTTTTTTGGGTGGTTTCCGGTGATTTTTAATGGACGTAGTTGCGTGTTTTTGGATTTCGACCAAGGTAGTAGCTGGTGGGGTGGGCTTCTTGCTATTGGAGGTGAAGGTGTGGTGGGCGGAGGTTTGGCTGGCAATGGGAACTATCCATGGAGGTGAGGAAGAGGGTTTAAGGAAGGAAGAAGATGAAGAAGAAAGGGAAAAAAGGGAAAAGAAAAAAAATTTGTGGTATTGGGTAGTATTACCCATACCATGGTAGTGGGTAATACTTACTCATGGTTGGATGGTGGTGGTTTGGTGGTGATAAGGGCGGGTTGATGTCTGAAATGGTTGTTAAATAGTTGTAGGACAAGGCTAGCTAAGGGTGGTTACTTTCTGCAAAAAAAAAAAAAAAAAAATGGCTAGCTAAGGGTGGTGGACATGGTGACTGAGAAAGAAAAAGAGGAAAAAAAAAAGTTGCGTGCTACTCATGTGATGATATTGCCCGAGTAATGGTAAAACCGGATAAAAGAATCAAAGTGTCAATTTTTTAAGGTCCTAAAGTGTCATTTTACTAACATGTCATTTCACACAAAATATTCGAAACTAATATAATATGTGGTTGCCAACCATCGAGTGCGCCCTTAGCAATCAACCTGATTGACAATATTTCGTCAATCAGTTGCTTATGTGGCCCCCACTTGCCAAAGTAATTAATTATTTATTGTTGATGGGATTTTAAGACGTTACGGTGTTACTACTAAGTAGTAAGTACTAACGTCTGTTTTTTTTACTGTCTTCTCCAATCTTTCACTGGCAGCACCACCATAGCCAATTAGCCACCATCATCTCCACCACAACGCGAAACCCTTAACAACCACCACCATTTATTCGCCTATTGCCGGTCAAACCCACAGAAGCTTCCCCTTCGTCTCGACGTCCTCTTCTTCTTCCCATAGTCCCCCTATTCTTCCTCAACAATGGGCACTTTGCGGAAAAATAAAAACACACCCTACTAGAAAAGAGTGTAAATTAGGGCCATATCAACCCCTTAGGGAAAACCTTCCATCCGTGGCGGCATTTCGAACTGCCATAGGTGGTGGTACTGTGGAGGAAGAAGTGGTTTCGAACTGCCATTGGTGTTAAATAAGGGTTTCGAATTAGGGAAAACTTGGAAAGCTATGTCTGAGTTCTGGTTTTGGTGTTAGATTAGCGTTAGCCCAACGTTTGCCAAGTTATGTGTAAGCTGACAATAGTACCCTTACTATTATAACTGTAAAGATGAAATTGCCTCCTGATTTACACACAAGTTGTAAATATGATGAACATGAATTTTCTCGCCAACCATCATAAGGATTACTTTGTTAGTATAACAAAGGTTACTTGGTCCGTGTTAATAGATTACTTCGTTATTGTTATAGGGTTATCTCAGTTAGTGTTTTAGAGTTACTTAGTTAAGATTACACCTTTTATAACGTTAATTGATCATAGAAGTTGTTTCGCTCTTTAAGAAGTGGCCAATCGACACACAAAACGAGCTGAAATTACTCAAGTTCGGCTCACTAACAAGTTTTATCAACCTAATTTTATAATCCGAGTATCCAATCATATTCATATACACTTGCCTCATGTGCAGCTCCGCATAAACCCCTTTCCCCAACATAAACCCTAAAAACTCCATTGCTGAAATCCCTCCTTCAACAATGGCGAAGAATAATGGCACCGAAACGAAGAAGAAAAACAAGAAGAAATCAAAGCAATCTGGCGTAAACAAAGTATCCATGAAACTCAATTTAGTTCCCAAAGATAACCCTTTCAAGACCATTTGGTCCCGCCGCAAATTCGACGTTATTGGCAAAAAACGCAAAGGTGAAGAACGCCGTATTGGCCAAGCTCGTACTCGCGCTATTGATAAGGTTCACAATTCATCTTCTCATTTGAATTTGTTTGATTTTAATTGAAAAATTGAATTGTTTTTTAATTGATTTTGTTTTTGTGAAATTATAGAGGAAGAAGACGTTGTTGAAGGAGTATGAACAAAGCGGGAAAGCTTCGGTTTTTGTGGATAAGCGAATTGGGGAGCAGAATGGTACTCTTGGTGAATTTGACAAGGCTATTTTGCGTTCTCAGCGTGAGCGCCAGGTATTAATGGACTGTATTTTTATGTAGCGTTAATTGTTTAGGCAGTGACTTATGAATTCGGGATCGTTTGTATAGAAGTTTTCGGGTTTTTGTGTATAGAGGTTTTCGGGTTCTTGTTCGATTTAGTTGTTGCTTGAAAAATTCACTGTTTGGTCATTTTGAACATGGGGATGGACATGCTTTTGATTAAAATTAGGGTCAAATTATGTGTTGTGTCGAGTGATCATTGACGGATTAGTAGCTGAGAGAAGGAAAGTGTTAATTTGGAGGGAATTAACTAAACGAGTTAAGTCTTTGATGAAGGTGGTTAAGCCATTAAGCTCTAGACATAGAAATTGAATGGAAGTGTTGAGTAATCAACTAATCGGTGTCCTAATTTTTGGTTATAATGGAGTTGATTGGAATTTGGAAAATTGACTCAGTGATGTAATTGACAGTCCATTGGTTTTGTTGCTCATTTTAAATAATTTTCTCGCCTACAGATGAAAATAAAAAAGACAAACATGTATAATTTATCTGATGAAGAAGAAGATGATCTTGATATCAATGATGGACTAAGGGATGACTTCAATGACGATGTGGAATATGATAGTGATGAGGAAACAGGTCAAGGTAAAGATGGAAGTTTTGAAATGTTATTTCTAATGTTTATCTATTGTATGTATGTTAATTGCTGAATGCTGATTGGAATTAGGAACAATTATGTGATTGTTTGTAACTATGAAACTTGTCAAAATGGAGAGGAAAAGTTTCCAGTTTCAGAAGCTATAATAGATCACTAAAGGGTAAAATGAAACGTGTCAGTGGTTGATGGAATTCCTTTCCATTGGTATATGAAGTGATTCATGATGGCAACATTAACTGTTTGATACTATAAATACCTTAGCATTGCCCTCATTATGAGGCTGAGATATATTGACTTTCTTCTGTTGCTTTGCACTTGCAGGCAAGTAGTTTTCTTTCTGATTCTTACTCACTCACAAAAATAGAAGCAAGTTCTGTTACATTACATATTTGAGTTTCTCCATTATAATTGGGAAGTTTATCCGAGTACCATTAACCCTCTTGACTTGATTAAATTATGCTCTGTAACAATGTTAGAATGGGAATGTTTGTTTGGAAGTCTAGTGGATAGGTCTGTGCGTTAATGGTGAAAATAATCTGTTGTTATGGCTACAGTGATGGGCTGTTGAAAATTACTTAAATAACTTCTAATGCTGAACAATAGCTTAGAGCTAAAGAATTGGCTTAGTTTCAATATGATGATGCATATTATGCACATGGAGGATGGCAAGGGCTTTGAGTTCTTGGAAGTGGAATCTAAATCCACAGAGGCTGGTAGCATGGAGGGCTTGATTTGTATTGTAGTCATACTGAATAGTGTAATTTAACTTCTCATCTTTTGCATTCCCATTCTGTGATTGGATGCTTCTTGTTATAAATAATGAGATAAAGGCTCTTACACCAACCATGTGATTGTGGCCATTTTTGCTGATGAATGTCTTTGCATTAGAAGCTTTTTTAGTTTTCTTCTTGCTTTACTTATAGAAGTTGCTGTAATGTGGTTGAGTTTAATGATCTGTTAATATATTTTATTGATCTATTTATTTTTGGGTGTATTAGACAGGTCTTCCATCTCAAGGCTTGGGCGTAAATCAGTGGATGCAGACATAGCCGAAGGGGAGGGAAATGTAAGATGATATTTATTAAGTCTCAACTTGTAAAGTGTATTTACTGCTTGTTATGGTTGAACCTGAATGTAGAGGCTGTTTAAGACTAATTAATTATCTGTTACTTTCTGTGCTTGTCTCAATCTCATAAATGATTAACATAAGACTGCTCTTTGCTACCTTTAGATGTACTTTAATACAAGCAGTAGATATTGGTTGATGTATTCCATACAGGGCAGGTTGTGGCCTGGTTTACATTATCTTGTTGACTTCCTTGGTGAAGAGAGCTAATGTAGTCCAGTGTTACGAAGAAAGTTTGGAGGGACCTTCAAAAACATGGATTTGAGAACAAACTGCAACAATTCACCTGAACTCCTCAGTAGTCAAGATGATTAGTTAAATACTCAGTGTAATACTAATCAATGGCATTTGTGTTCTGAATCCCTCTGAAGAGAAAGTCCATGTGGCTGAAATCTTAGGCTTGACTCTTGAGAAAAAGTCTTTCCATGTTTACTAGCGCCTGATTTAATTAGTTTGGAAGCAAAAAAAAAAAAAAAAAAAAAAAAAACCAATATTCCATTATATATCTAGCATATGTGATTTTGTCCCCTCGTTTGGAAAATTATTTTTGGACCTTTAGATTATATCAAAATATGGTCATGTAAAGAAGATGAACTTTAAAAGTTTTATTACTTTATTATACACATGTAGTGAATGATAGAGTTAAGAGTATAAATGCTGGCAAGCATGTCTTTCTTCTTGTATGTTGTTCCGTAGCTAGAAAAATATAAAAAAGAATTTCTTTTTAGTTTACTGTCTCTTTATTGCATAATTGTAGCATATCTTGACTTTCTCCAGTCATACCTTTCCGTCTTTGTTCTTAAACATTGTTATATCAAACATCATGTACAGTTTGTACACTTATTTTAATTGTTCTAGCAGCTGAAGTATGCATAGTCCTTACATTGTAACACTAATATGATTGTCTAATTGCAGAGGGTGAAGAGTAAGAAGGAGGTGATGGAAGAGATCATTCAGAAAAGCAAGTTTTTCAAGGTGAGGTTCTTTTTTTATTTTTTTATTTATAATAATAATAATAATAATAATAATAATAATAATAATTATTATTATTATTATTTTTTTTTTATTTTTTTTTTTTGGGGGGGGGGGAGGGGGGGTTGGATGGGGGCCTAGAGTTGGTATATTTGTCTTAATTGTCTCTCAAATTAGGTGTCACAACTTTGTAAACATATAAGAAGGCTTACCTGCTCAGCAGTGGATACAAAACATTACTGAGTTAACAATTTGATGCTGTTATTCTAATCTGTTGATACTCCCTCCGTTTTTAAATACTTGCTCCACTTTCCTTTTCCGGCCGTTTTTAAATACTTGCTCCATTTCCCTATTTGGAAAGCTTTGACAATATTTAATTAATTTCTCTCACCTAGTGGATCTAACAATATTAATTTCATATTCTCTCTCCTTCAATTCTCTCCACTACTTTTGATTTTTTACAATTTTTTATTCTTCCACAAACCCCACTACCTCCATATTTTATTATTTTCTCCAAAATCTCCTAAAACTCCGCGCATGGAGAAATGGAGCAAGTATTTAAAAACGGAGGGAGTAATACTTAATGTAAATCGTTTGTTCCTTCCTTTTAAAAATGATAGGCACATTTGACTTACTAACTATTGGCTAAAGTAAGTTGTTTCTGACTTCGATAATATGTCTGAATTTCTCATAAGTAATACACCATCTTCTTCTAAATTTTCTAATTAAAGAAAAAAATGTTTGAAGTGGACAAGAATACACCATAGAATTTAAATACACCTATTATATTCAAATAGAAGGGGATAAGAATAAGATTAGCTGTTGTTTGATTTCTCACCATGTCTCACATCTTGTAACCATCTGTTCTTATTTCTCTACATTATTGACTTTAAGTATTCAGTACCATTACTTTAATTGTTGGACTTTTTTAACTTGATTAGCTAGCATAATAAAGAGCTGGGTTACTAGTTGAAACACATTGGGACAGAAATCCTAGATTTAGTATAATATAACACATTCTCTATCCCGTATGGAGGATAAACTTACTATAGATGGAGCTGGGTCACTTATTTAGATACATAAAATAGGATATAAGTCGGATGTCCTATGTTAATACTTCCTCTGTTCTTTTTTTATTGCACCATAAGGGGTTTAACGCTTGCCAATGCATAAATGCATTACTTTGGCTATTAATAGCTTTTATTGTACTTTTGTAAAAATTATAAAAAAATTGATATTTGAAAAGTAGATTTCAAGACGAATCTAACTAGATCTCACATGACTATGTTTTTCCTAATAGATAAAGATGGTCAAAGAAGATAAATCACACTTCCTCCACCCCTTATTTTCAAGGATAAAATAACTTCACAATTACTTTAAAGTCAGGATTCTTTTTTTTTAGAAAGAGGAATGACAATAAAATGATGGTTTACTTGATGCATGGAATTGGTGAATAGTACTCGGACTTGTCAGATGCACAAGGTGCAGTCTAAATTGCTGAAATTTATGGGGACATGCTAGATCTCATAATCTATGGTTCTCATAAATTTAGCTTTGGGATTGTCAGTGTTATTTTATTTTAAAGTGAAAATTCGATTGTAGTGCAACGATGTCAAACCAGAATTCATTTCCTGTTGCTTTTACCATGTTCTTTTCAATTTCTTTGATAAAGCCAAGGTAAAGTTTTCCAGCAGAACTCATGGATCATGACAGGATGAACCTGGGAGCTAATGTGTATTCTTTTGCTGAGAGCACATAAACTAAACCTAGTTAACTATTTCAGAGAGTTTCAATTTCTTTTTAGATAGTGTAGTATCCTTACCTTTGAGTTTATTATGAGTTACCTTTGGTCTATTTCTGGTTCTGAAGGATCTTCCTATGATTGCTGAATATTAACAACTTTGTTCTGTCTACCAGGAACAAAAAGCGAGGGAAAAAGAAGAAAATGAGAAGCTGGTTGATCAATTGGACAAAGATTTTGAATTATTAGTTCAATCAGATGCTTTATCATCTCTTACTCAACCAAGCAAGATGAATGCTTTGAAGGCTCTTGTGAATCCAAACTTTTCAAAAGATTTAAAAAATAAAGAGGTTACATCAGTTTCTGATGTTTCCAAGCAGGTACTATCTTGGTTCTGTTGTTTGAAGCATCTTTTGTTATTCCCTTTCTTGTTTGTTTTCTTTCTTTCTTAACTAAATAAAAGATCCTGTTACAAGTACATGTTGATTTAGCTGTTCGTCTTATATATTAAGTGATTGGCTGTGTTACTAAAGCTATGCAGTACTACCATTTCTTTATCTGATTGTTTACCCAAATGCCATTTTGTTGGGCTTTATCGTATTTTATCATTTAATTTATTTTTTAAAATTTTTTGAGACTGGTTGTTCTTGTTTTGCAATGGAATGTCAATAATATATGTGCTTTGTGTTTGAAGTGATATTTTGGTTAATAAGCATCCTTCCCTAAAAATACTTAAATGGGAGAGTGAACAAGAGATTGTTTGGTCCTTATGTTGGAATTTTTCAGGCTTTGTACTCAGTAAGACATGAAATCTATTTCTGCTGTGTTTATATAGGATGAACCTGATATTTATGATAAATTGGTAAGCGAGATGGCATTCGAGATGCGTGCTCGCCCGTCAGATAGGACTAAGACACCAGAAGAGATAGCTGAAGAGGAAAAAGAACGGCTAGAGCGACTTGAGGTACGTTTACATGTAGTTTACGCAGTTTAGTTCCCTCCATTTTTACAATGTTTATAGTAGTTTATACATTTTAGAACCTGTGATTTGAGCCACAGATTTCAAAGTGGCAAGTTTTTTGGCATGAATGGACTGTTATTGCTTCGCTTGCCAATATTAGTTGGCAAAATGGTGATTTTATTGGTCCATTTTATATGAAATGCGCTACTCATTGTTAAAAGCAGTTTATTTTATTCTATTTTCTATATTTATTTATTATTTTGTATTGTAATTGACTTTCATCATTTTGGGGGAAAGTTATCGATTTGTAGATTCTTGATCCTCACTATTATTATCCTATTTGAAAACTCTTATTCCCTCTGTCACTTTTTGATCTTTACGCTTTGACTATTTTTTTCTCACAAGAATTTGGAATGTAAAGATTTTAAAGTAATGGAGAGAGTACATGTTATGATACACATTTAATCTATACTATCTCCTCTATTTTTAGTTGACATGTTTCGTTTACATGTTTGCCAACGCACAAGTTCAACGATGAATATCTCTAACTAAATAAGTAAAAATTATAAAAAGTTAATATTATGAAAATATACATTGATATGATTCCAAGAAGATCCTAGATTTATCATAACTATATATATCGCAAAAGCTAGTCAAAGTAGAATGTGTATAGTGTCAAAAGTCAAAACATGCCAACTAAAAAAAATGGAGGAAGTATTCTAGTTTTGTCGAAAGAATTTTTATCCTTTAACTACCCTTATTGTCTTTTTACCCACTTGTTGTAGCCTATTATAGAGTAATTGTTAAGGGGCGCTTAACATGCAAATGTCTATGAACAGCATTGAAATAACAAAGTGTAAATCTGGTACAATTTCATTCTACAGTGAGGGAAAAGTTTATTTACTTTTATTTTCTATGTTGGAGATGCTGTTTGCTATTGATTAATTTGATCTCATATTCTTTTTTAATTCTTGGGTGTGTAAATATGTAGCGTAAATGTCTATAATTCTATTGTCTATGACATTGTCAATAATTTCACTTTCCATGAACCTGTGCTTGGGAAGAATGACATGGATACTATGTAAAGGATTTGCAAAAATTAAGATCCGTCTAATTATTTGCCAATGACAGGACTGAATGGTATTATTTAGGTGATGATAAATTGATAATTGCTATTAAGATTGGCTATTCTAACTCTTTTTGTCTTATAGCAAGAGAGGCTGGATAGGATGCGTGCTACTGATGATACAAGTGAAGAGGATGGTGATGATTCTGAAGATGATGTCAAGCATTCTGCTAACAAACAAAGTCATGTTTCTGGTGATGACCTTGGTGACTCATTCACTGTTGATGACAAGCCACTAAATAAAAAGGGATGGGTTGATGAAATTATGGAAAAGAATGTTTCAGAGGATACTGGGGATGAAGATAGTGGGTGTTCTGATGATTCAGACGAGAGTGAAGATGATGAAGAAGGGACTGACAATGAGGAGGATGACGGAAAGGGAGAAACATTGAAGGACTGGGAAGAGAGTGAGGATGATCTTGGTACTGATCTTGATGAGGAGGACGAGTCAGATGAAGAAGAGGAAGGAGAAGATGATAAAACACAGGAAGAGAGAAAGGACAAAAAGAATGAGAGGCTTGTCAATCCTGACAGAAAGGAGCAAAAGAAAACTGCAATGCTGAATGTAGGTGTGGCACAGAGTTCAAGGCTTAAAAAGGAACTTCCTTTTACAATTGATGCTCCAGGGAGTATGGAGGATTTATACGCACTGTTTCAAGATCGTTCAAATGAAGATATTATTGAAGCAATTATGAGGATCCGCAAATGTAATCCAATTCATCTTGCTGCCGAAAATAGGAAGAAAATGCAAGTAAGAATATCTGGGATTTTTCATTCGAGCTGTCTAGCTTGTTGCATTGCTTTTGAACCAACATGTGATGGATTTGGAAATATATCAAGAATTTAAACTCTTCTTTTATTGTGAATTGGTTTTTTATTTTTTTAGGATGCTTACTTGAAATGCTGGTGGCGCTTTATTTATTATTATTTTTTTCAGGTGTTCTATGGGCTTCTCCTGCAGTACTTTGCTACATTACCAAACCAAAATCCATTAAACTTTCAATTATTGAACTTACTGGTCAAACCATTGATGGAGATGAGCACAGAAATTCCATATTTTTCAGCAATATGTGCTCGTGAACGGATTTTACGGACTCGTACAAAATTCACTGAGGATATCAAAGACCCAGGTCTTAATTAACCACATACCTGTTTTTAGTCCTTCTTTTGGGCGTGTTGAAAAAGATTAATGAAGTTGCCTTTTCTCTTTTCTTTTTTAAACATATGCAGAGAAAAGCTCCTGGCCTTCCCTGAAGACCTTGCTTCTATTGAGACTTTGGTCCATGATATATCCATGCTCTGACTTCCGTCATGCTGTCATGACACCAGCTTCTTTGTTAATGTGTGAATATTTGACACGTTGTCCTGTTCTGTCTGTCCGCGATGCTGCAATCGGGTCTTTCTTATGTTCCATAATTTACTTGGTAGGTTATGTTCATCCACATATATGCACTACAGTGTACCTATATTTATTATGTTTTTAAATCATTACTAATCATTTCCAAAAAAAAAAAAAAAAAAAAAAAAATCATTACCAATCATCTGATGTTCAAAGACAAGATTGGAGGATTGTATTGTCTTCTGTACATTGGATTTGCTTATTTTGCAAGCCACTACTCATTTTGTTGTAAATCTGTTTGTCAAATATATGTTTTCTTTGCTACCACTTTTCAGCTCATGATAAGGCTTTTGTGACTTTTTGTTGTTAGATGGTTAACTTTCATTGCTATATCTGACACTACAAATAGTATAGAGGGACTTCAAGAGTAGTGGAAGAATATCATAGGAAAAGCTATTTGAACTTGTACAAACTCATATGATGCCTTTATCATGGTCTCATGTACTATCTGTGAAGTGTTGACTTGTTATATGTCATCAGTTGTGGCCACTTACAAGACTTTACAACTTTTGGGTGTTGATGATTTGAGTTCTTTCTGCAGGTGACTAAAGACAATAAGAAGTACTTTCCTGAAGCTTTAATGTTTCTCAAGACTTTACTAGTTGCAGCTATAGATAAAGATCCTAAAGGCATCAAGGACTCTCAGGTAAATGATTTTTGCTACTGCTTCCAAATTAACAATCACTAAGAAACTGTTGCACATGGTTTGGAACAGATAAGATGATGCTACTTGTCTGTTAGCATGTTATTTATTAAAGTGTCTCTTTTCATTGTTTTGATCATTCTTGACAACTTAGATGAACTGACGTATCCTGTTTGTTTTTATAATTCAGATGTATCAACATCTTCTAGAGTTCAAAGCACCCGTGCCATTGTTGCGCATAGAAGAAAATATAAAGGACATTAAGCCTCTGGACTTCTTGAAGATAATGAAGTTGCCTGAAGATTCCTCCTTTTTCAACAGTCAAGGTTTCAGGTTAGTGTAGTTTACAACTATGCTTGTTTGAATTTCCAGCTCTAGCCGGAGAGCTTTTATTCTTTCAATGCACAATAATTACTCCATCGCATTCTTTCTGTTAATCTTATTTTGCTTTAGTGACTAGCTGTTTGACAAATTTGCACATGATATATATTTTTCCCAGGATAAAATGAACTCCATTCGTCACCTGCAGTCTAAGTCCCTCAAAAAAAAAGAGAGAAACATCTAGGATGTAGGTTACATGTATGAATTAGCTTATAGGTGTCGAAAATGTGTTTTGCAACTAGCTGAAATGTGTAGGATAGAAGTATGATGTTGGCCACTCCCCCCTGCATTCACTCTTCCCCTTTTTTCCCACTCCTTTAATGGTGTGAAAAAGGGAGGGCGGGGGACTAATAATAGTATAATCCATGATGGGTAGAGGGAGAAAATATTTGCCGGCAGATAAAAATAGAATAAAGAATTTGTATTCTAAGCTCCAGGTAGTTCTTCAAATTTTTGGGGGAGGTAAGACCGTAAGAGAGAGGAGGGAGGCTGTAGGGTACTAAGGTACTTTGGTCATTTTGATTAAAGGTTGGCTCCTTTACTGAGTATTTTGGATTAAATGTAAAGCTCCAATTCTAGTTGTGTTATTCAACACCACCAAAAAACTACACACTGCAAATTAATGGGGGAGGTAAGGAGAGGGAGGGGATGTTTTAGGGTACTAAGGTACTTTGGTCATTTTGATTAAAGGTTGGCTGTTTTACCGAGTAATTTGGATTAAATGTAAAGCCTCAATGCTAGTTATGTTATTCAACACCACAAAGAAACTGCATCGCATACAACTCATTTTTATAACATTATGTTACTGTGAAATATTTACACTGCTCTTTTTTGCGTTGTGATGTAATTGCATCTTTAGTTGTGACCGTATTCATACATTGTTTCCCTTACTCTTTATCTTGGTTTTTGATGTTAGTTAATTGAGTGTTTGATATAAAATTGCAGGGCCAGTGTGCTTGTCTCAGTGGTGGAGACCCTCAGGGGATTTGTAAATGTCTATGGAGAACTTAAAGCCTTTCCTGAAATATTTTTGCCTGTATCAGCATTGATGGTTAAAGTTGCTGATCAACAAAATATGCCTGGTGTTTTGCAAGAGAAATTACGAGATGTAGGCGAGCTCATAACAACGAAAGTCGAGGAATATCACAAACTCCGACAACCACTTCAGATGCGGAAGCAGAAGCCTGTGCCTATGAAATTACTGAACCCCAAGTTTGAGGAGAAGTAATGCTTTTTCTTAAGCTTTTTTTTTTTTTTTTTTTTTTTTTTTTTTTTTTTTTTTTAATGGTTATGATTGATATCGTTTCTTTTATATAGTAGGCAATAACATTTTTTTTTTTGGCAGTTTCGTAAAGGGTAGGGATTATGACCCTGATCGTGTTCGAGCTGAGAATAAGAAGATGAAGAGACTTCTGAAAAAAGAACGCAGGGGAGCTGTTAGTGAGTTGAGGAAAGATAATTACTTCCTCCAAGAGGTGAAGATGAAAGAGAAGCAACGACTGGACGAGGAGAGAGCAGAAAATTATGGTAAGGCAAGAGCTTTTCTTCAGGAGCAAGAACATAATTTTAAGTCTGGGCAGCTTGGAAAGGGTCGTAAGAGAAGAAGATAGAAAGGATTTTCAATTGTCAATGAGGTATTTTATAGTTCCAAACCATATGCTCTGATAGATCATCAAAAGATGTGAATTTGAGTATGGTGTATGTTGGTTCTCTTTTCTGTTTAGGCTGGGTTAACGGAGTATGATCATCACTAATTTACGTTACCTAGAAGTGGAAACTGTCAGGTGAGAATGGAAGATGCATGAAAGTTGGATTAGTGGCTTACTGCCATTTGATTGTCATTTGCTGGGTTTGTGGGAGAACCGACTGGTTTACTTCATTTTCTGGCTTTGAAAGAGTTAGTATCCGGCATGTCCATTGTACTTCCAGTATCCAGCATATTAGAATAGGAAAATTTTGTGATTTAATTTGGTTTATCAGCTACTCATAGGAAATGCAATACTCTGCAGTTTTGCTCTTCTGTATAGTGTTTCCCTCTTTCTTTCTTTCTTTTTTTTTTTAGGTTTTCTTTATAAGGTATCTGAACGAATACAGCAGGTCTGGCATCATTCTATGTTTTTACATGCTCAACAAATACAGCGTTTCTCTTTTAATACAAGTACATTTTTTTGAGGATAGCTAAATCTAGTGTAAGGGAGATAAAAAGTAATTGTTTCAAATTCATTACATTACGCCTAGTGTTAAATTGGGTACATTGTACACTTGTTCCAGCAACCTTGAGGCATTAAGCCATTAATAGCTTTTCTACGCATCCATATTAGAAACATCGGGCTATGCATGTAGACGGTCATGTTAGTAGGACGAGGGTGCTTGTGCCTCTGGAACTACGTCTTGGCAGTGAGGCTGGTTCCTCGTAAGTTGAAGCAGCATGAATCAGATTTGATTTCTCATATTATCTATAGTTTATGAGGATAATTCTATTATCTTAAACTTCATGTGTAATATTCTGATTTCCATTTAATTTTGTTATGAACTTTTTCTTACACTGAAGTTACACATGATGATCAAATTTTGCATCTCGCCGTCTACATTATAAGTAATAGTTGTCTCTCTTGAATTTTTGAATCTTCAAGTACTTTTGTGATATTCAGTCACAACCCTAACAATGAAGATGGATGGTAGCGTTTTGGCAAATGAACAAGTTTTGGTGGCCGTTTTAAAATATGCTTAAGATATCATATAGAAACCGTAATCCCATTAAAAAAAAAAAGTCACCACTAATAAAAAAAAAATGTGCCTCTATCCTACAATACTCATATTGCTAACCAATAATTTCACATATTATTGCAAGTAAACATCAAAATGGTTCCAATAAGATTTCCCATACATCGATTGCAACTGAGTCATAAACTCATTACGTAGCCGCTAGCTAGGATCACAACAATGAACAACCTCTCAAGAAGTGGTAGAGAGTTGATGCTTGGAAATCAAAATACCATCAGTATCAGCCCACAACCAATCACCATCATTAATCACAGCTCCAGCAAAATGAACAGAACCATGCTTTTCTCCAACACCCTTTTTATGAGACTTAACTGGGCTTGTCCCTAAAGCCCAAACCCCAATATCACAAGCATCTATCTCATCAACATCTCTAACACAACCATTCACAACAATCCCAGCCCAACCATTATCTTGGGCTATTTGGCCCAAATTCCCACCCAAAAGTGCACACCTTATGCTTCCCCCACCATCCACCACCAAGACCTTCCCTTGGTGGGCCTTGGACTCTAACGAGGCCCGGACCAAGACGTTATCCTCGAATACCTTGACCGTTACGACGGGCCCATTAAAGGCCCGTCGTCGGCCATAAGGTTTGAAGAGTGGTAGTAAAACCTTAAGTTCTCCTGTTGAAAGGAGGCTTGAATTTGCATCACAAATGTCTGTTGTTGCTACCATTATTTTTTTGTATTTGAAGAGTGTTTTGGGTTTTTATTTGAGAAAGTTTTTTAGTGATAGTGGTTGGATTTGTGGTAATAGAGATGTGTAGTGTAGCGGAGTTGTTTTAGGAGAAAAAAAAGTTGCACCACACAATATAATTATTGGTTTTGTTGATTTATGTGCCTATTTTGTTGATTATTGTGGTTGAGGAGATAAGAGTGAGGACAAAGAGTGATGTTAGCAAATATATCACATGTTGAGCTTAATATGCCACTTGTTAGGTAGCCAAGTACCGGGAATTTAGTATTGAGAGAAGACTTTCTCGAGATGAATTTTAGATAAACTTTTGACTTATTTGATTTGACTAGTTTTATAAGAGTCGAAAGAAAAGTGATGTAGAGTATAACAATGGAGTTTAGGGATAATTCGATCTTAGAAGGGAAAGAGTATTACTGTATTATTACAGTATTAGTATTAAATATAATATGAATTACAATGGAAGTTGACAGCTTGTGTTTTTATTTAAATTGTAAATTGTACGTAATTACTTGGAAAATTTGTAAATTGCAGCCGTTTAAAGTTCGTATTTTGCAAATTGCAGCCATTTAAAATTTATTTTGCAAATTGCAGCCCAAAAGTTCATATAAATTGTAAATTGCAGCCCGATTTATCTTTTTCATCTGTTGACAAGTTGAAAAATATTCGATTATGATTTTAGGGGCCATTTTAGCCCTTAAGGACTCGAATTGAGCTCGGATATAGCAAAAAAATAACGTAAATATTTCGTTTTGCGTAACAAAAATGTATCGATTTGTGAAAAATTGTAAATATGAGACACTTACACTATTTTTTTTTGCTAATTCCGAGCTCAATTCGGGTCCATAAGGACTAAATTGACCACTAAAACCTTAACCGAAGATTTTTTTAACATGTAAACCGATGAAAAAATTGAATGGGGCTGCAATTTACAATTTATACGAAATTTTGGGCTGCAATTTGCAAAAAAAAATTTAAATGGCTGCAATTTGCAAAATACGAACTTTAAATGGCTGCAATTTGCAAATTTTCCTAATTAGTTAGGTAATAGTTGAATCATATCTTTGCCCTTAGAAGTTGCTGAGAATGCTGACTAAAGTGATACGTTATTATCCTTGATTTGATCATCTAATTAGAAGATACAATTGTGCTTGTTGTCCAAGTGTTTAATCATTGTCGTCACCGAGAATGACGCGTCATTCACTCCAAAAAAAAAAAACCATTTCTAATAAAATAAAATAAAATTATTCCTACTTTAATGTTTCTATATAATCTTTTTTCATTGACAAAAGATATAGACAATAAATATACTTATGATAAAAAAATAGATTCTAGTATTAATATAATTATTATTTTCTAAAAATGATAATGTGTTATAATAATATATTAATATTTTTTTGAAAGCTAATAATATATTAATTATAATAATATCTTAACGTAATTTCTTATAAAAAAAAGATTCGATATACAAAGTATATTTTTTTTATTAGACATACAGTATTAGTATTACTTGATTTTGGGAATTTGGGTTAATTGAATTTGATCTCTTTCCAACAAATTCTTTAGCCATTAATCTTATGCCTACATACATACCTATTTGAAATTAAGCAAATTTACAAGTACATATTTTAGATGTGATTGCACCAAAAAAAAAAAAAAAAAAACATATTTTAGATGTGAGATGTCTTAATCTTTTTTTTAAAAAAATCAAACATGGTTGAAACTAAAGCTGTCAGAAGTTGATCCGACCCGAAATATCGACTCAAACCCGATTATTAACCGATCCATCTGAATCCGAAAAAATGGTGATCCAAATCCGACCAGACCCGACCTAAAACCAACCCAAAACCCGAGTATGAGAGACCCGAACCCGAACATGAACTAACCTGGAGATGACCCGACCCAAATGTAACCCGTAAATTATTGACCTGAACCGAACCCGCCTTGAACCGAAATTAACCCAAACCCGTTTTAACCCGTCAAAACCCGAATTAACCCAACTTGTTACTAACCTGACCTGAATACAACCCGACCTGTTCCTAACCCGACCCGATTTAACCCAACCTGTTACAAACCTGATCCGAAATCAACCTGACTTGTTATTGACCTGACCCTAATTCAACCCGACTTTTTATTGACCCGACCCGAATTTTACCAGACCTATTACTAACCCGACTCAAAAATTCTACCCAATCTATTACTAAACCGACTCGAAATCAACACGGCTTGTTAATAACCTGACCTAAATTCAACCCAAATTGTTCCTGACCCGATTTCAAATCACCTTAAATGCAATTTAGACCACCTTATTATTGTTTATCAAAGCATTTTGTCGAGGGAGACCAAGTCGGTCCAGGCCAGCAAAAGAAAGAAGCATCATCCTCAAATTTAAGAGTTAAATACAGTATATATTTGTTGTACGGTAATTATCTTTCTAAATTATAGACTATAATTCCCTAGTATATTGCCATATATATTATAGTCAAAGGAAATGATTAGCTTGATAAAATGATAATTATTTATTTATAGTTAGTTGAACTCGAATATGACTGAACTTAAAAACGACCTAACCTGATTGTAACCTGCAAATTTTTTACTTCAACATAACCCGACTTGACTCCGAGAATGACCCGACTTGGAAATAACCCAACCTGATTATAACCCGCAAATTATTGACTTGAACCAAACTCGACTAAAACTCAAGAATGACCCGACTTGAAAATGACCCGACCTGATTATAACCCGCAAATTTTTGACTTGAACTTAACCCGACTGAAATCCGAGAATGACCCGACCATATTCTAACATGAAAATTATTGACTTGAACCGAACCTGACTCGAACCCAAGAATCACCCTAACCCGTTTTAACTCGTGAAAACCCGAACCCGAATTAAACCCGACCTATTGTTCACCCGACCTGAATGTAACCCGACCTGTTATTAACCTAACAAAAACCCGACCAAAACTCGATAAGAAGTATGACCCGACGTGAACCGAGTCACTAGACTCAAGCATGACCCAACCAAACCCAACCCGCATAGGTTATGGAATTAACCCGAATTGACCTGACCCGACCAACTCTTACCAATCCAAACCTGACCCATTTACCCGAATTGACAGCTAGCTGTACCCGAAACTTCCAAAATTTCTCAAAAAGCGTGGATTTTATTAGCCTTCAATTTTGGAATTTTTTGACTTTTTTTCACCTGAAAATAAAAATTGCCAAAATGATTACCATGGTCCCTAATATCCTCCGGGTGTTCAATTGGCTGGGTGGAACCATTCAATTGCCTTTAAACGACCAATTTACCGGTTTACAACTTGCACCGATTTCATTAACTCAAGCTTACTGCGAACATTTATGACAACATATAATGATCATATATGGATCCAAACGGCATTATATGACCCTGGGATGTATCCCCTAAAATCTCAATGCTTTTCGACACCAGGCCCTTAGCCTTCAATTTTGGAATTTTTTTACTTTTTTTTTGCCCAGAAATAAAAATTGCCGAAATGTTTACCATGGTCCCAAATACCCACCGGGAGTCCAATTGGATGGGTGGAACCATCCAATTTGCCTTTAAACGACCAATTTACCGGTTTACAACTTACACCGATTTCATTAATTTAAGCCTACCACGAACATTTATGACAACAAATAATGATCATATATGGTTCCAAACGACATTATATGATCCCGAGATGATTCCTTAGAATTTCAAGACTTTTCGACACTGGGCCCGAAGACTCCAAAAATTTTCAAAAGCGTGGATATAGCCTTCAATTTTTGAAGTTTTTGACTTTTTTTTCGCCCAGAAGTAAAAATTGCTGAAATGTTTACCATTATTTACCATGGTCTCTAATACCCTCCGGGAGTCCAATTAAGTGGGTGGAGCCATCCAATTGCCTTTAAACAACCAATTTACCGGTTTACAACTTGCGCCGATTTCATTAACTAAAGCCTAACTCAAACATTTATGACAACATATAATGATCAAATATATGGTTCCAAACGACATTATTGACCCCGACATTATCAACACCGGCCCCGAAACCTCCAAAATTTCTTTAAAAACGTGGATATTAGCCTTTAATTTTGGACATTTTTTACTTTTCTTCGCCCAGAAATAAAAATTCAAAATGTTTACCATAGTCCCTAATACCCTCTGGGAGTCCAATTAGGTGGGTGGAAGTGTGGAACCATCCTATTTGCCTTTAAACGGCCAATTTATCGATTTTGCACCGATTAAATTAACTTAAGCCTACTACGAACATTTATGACAACATATAATGATCATATATGGTTCCAAACGACATTATATGACCTCGAGATGTATTCCTTTAAATCTCAAAACTTTTCGACACCGAGCCTCGAAACATCCCAAATTTATCAAAAAGCGTAGATTTCAATTTTGGAATTTTTCGACTTTTTATTGCCCGGAAATAAAAATGCCGAAATGTTTACCATGGTCCCTTATATCCTCTGGGAGTCCAGTTGGTTGGGTGGAACCATCCAATTTGCCTTTAAACGGCCAATTTACCGATTTACTACTTGCACCGATTTCATTAGTTCAAGCTTACTACGAACATTTATGACAAAATATAATGATCATATATTGTCCAAACGATATTATATGACTCCGAGATGCATCCCCTAAAATCTCAAGCCTTTTTGACATCGGGCCCCAAACCTCCAAAATTTCTCTAAAAGCGTGGAATTTTTGGATTTTTTGACTTTTTTTCGCCCGGAAATAAAAATTGACGAAATGTTTCCCACGGTCCCTAATACCCTCTGGGAGTCCAATTAGGTGGGTGGAACCATCCAATTTGCCTTTACACGGCCAATTTACCGATTTACAACTTGCACCGATTTTATTAATTCAAGCCTACCACGAACATTTATGACAACTTACAATGATCATATATAGTTCCAAACGGCATAATATAACCCTGAGATTTATTTCCTAAAATCTCAAGTCTTTTCGACACCTAGCCCCGAAACCTCCAAAATTTCTCAAAAAGCGTGGATATTAGTCTTCAATTTTGGAATTTTTTGACTTTTTTTCACTCGGAAATAAAAATTGCCGAAATTTTTACCATGGTCCCTAATACCCTCCAAGAGTCTAATTGGGTGGGTGAAACCATCCAATTTGCCTTTGAACGGCCAATTTACCGGTTTACAACTTGCACCGATTTCATTAACTCAAGCCTACCATGAACATTTATGACAACATATAATGATCATTTATGGCTCCAAACGGCAT